GGGTTGCCTCCAGAGCTCAGCTTTTCTGCACCAAACAACTAGTTCTTTCACTTTCCCATAAGCTACACGCTTATCTTCGTTCATGAAAAAAAAGTCAGTTTAAAACATTTTCTCAGAGTTATTCATGCGCACAATTTTAAGAGGCAGAGAGTCCCGAAAACGCTGCGGTCCCTGGCCTTACCCCGACTTCCTCTCCCCCAGAAGCAACCCCTGTTAGCTCTCTGGGCACCTTCTCCCTATTTATAATATCAGGCATAACGTCTCTCCTTACTGACCTGTCCGGCCAGCCACTTGCTATTGGCTTCCCACAACGAAATACAGGATTTAGCTCTCACATAGCAAAACGCCTTCCCCTGAACACATACAGCACGTTTCCTCTCCCTTTCCGTCCCCTACAGGTTATAGTCATTTATGTGTTATAAAATGTAAATGCTAATCACAGCTCCAAAATAGGCATGTTATAATTGCTTTTCCTTTCCTGAACACTGGTGTAAGGCCTGAAACGAAGGCCCAGTGTTAATATCACCGGAGGCCTTGGCATCTGGTGAGACCAGGAGGGCCTCAGACGGTCTGATTGCCTTTCCCTTCCCCACTCTGCTCGCAGCCCAGGGTGGGAATTCCTCCCTCACCAAAGGGAGGGACAGGAGGCGATGAAAACACACATCTGTCTGTGTTTCTCGGACCCAATAAGCTACTTGGTTTCCCTCTTCTCTTCCCAGTTGCGTAAATCTCCTCTCAGTCCCTTCAACCCTTCCTGTTACGGTCCTCTTCTTGGAAAAGCGTCCTCTTGGAGCCCCTGACCCGCTCCCGTCTGGCCTGGTTGATAACTGTGTCATCTTTTTTGAGATCTAACACATCTGAAAATGTCGTTAGTCTCCTACTTGATAGCTTGGCCAGATTTAGAATTCTTGGCTGGAAATTACTTTTCCTCAGGATTCTGAAGCCACTTTCCATGTCTTTTCGCTTCCAGCACTGCTGTTGAGAAGCCCCAAGCCATTCAAATCCCTAATCCTTTATGTGTGACCCGTTTTTCCTTTTTGCTGTGGAAAGGAAAAATCCCTCCTTCCCCTCGCTGCCCCCTCTCCCCACTTCCTCCTTTTAATTGGCCAGTGAAAGGTACCAGTGGGTTCTATTTTCATTCATTGAACTTGGCGCTTGCTGGATGTTTCTAATCTGGAAACTCATACCCCTTAGCTCTGGGGAAATTTTCAGTCTTACTCACTTAGTGATTTTCTCCATTCCATTTTCCTTTCCTATTTTCTCTTTCTGGAACTCTTATTATATGGAAATTGGCTTCCTTGTAGCTCTCTCATTTTTTTATCACTGTTTCTTTTATTTCCTATTTTGTCTGTTTTCTAGATTTCTTCTGATTTCTAGATTTCTTCACCTTATCTTTCAATCTGTCTATTGAGTTCTCCATTTCTATTGGTATATTTTCAATTTCAAGATTGTTTTCTAGTGTTCCTTTTTGGGCATCTCTATTCTTTTGGTGGAGTTTTACTGATAGTGGGCTTCACAGTAGGGTGAGCTGGTTGGCTATTTTCTTGAAGAACCCCCAATGTCAGCATTTTTGTTGTTGTTTTTTTTCTTATGGATGGGAAAGATCTCCAGGGAAGGAAGGCTTTCTCAAACTCTTGCCTGGAGGAATATCCCACAGTGCCAGCATGTGCATGAGATTCCTCCGATCCCTGAGCCTTCTGCAGATGGGGAGATATACACTGGGTTACTTTTTAGCTTTCTCCACTGCTAACTTTCTCAATTTTACTAAGTCAGTTACCACTCACCCATTTACTTTTCAATTTCCAAAATTATATTGCTGATGTTTACCTTCTTTTTGGATTTTAATACTTTTTATTTATTAATAGCTTTACTGTTATCTACATGGAATTTGGGAAAGAGTTGGGGCTATTGCATGTGTTTAAGTTTTGTCTCTTTATTTCTATTCCTACCCAACCTTTGCTTATTACCTCTTATTTAGTTAAAGTATTTTCTAGTCTAAGGCTGTTACTTCACCTGATAGTCAAATTCAAGGTCCTACTGTCCATTCAGAAGTATTGCTCCCATTATCACCCCTTCCCTGTCTTGTACTTTTGAATCTATATTGGCTCGTTCCTGTCAGCTATAAACACATTGAGATAATTCCATCTTCAGACATTCTTTTGCACTAATACCTTTCCCATGCTCACTCCTGTCTTCCTCACACTCCTGTCTATATTGCTGCTTCCTTTTACAGTCAAGATTTTTAACAGCATTCCCTGAACTTGCTATCTCTACTTTCTCTGAGCCCATTTACAATTCTACACACCAAGGAAAGGGACTTCTAGTAAAATCTCCAAATGACTTCCAGATTGCCAAACCAATAAACATTTTCTTCTCTTAAGTTTACTCTTCTGCTCTATGGTATTCTCGACCACGTTGATCTTTCTTTTTTTATTATTTGTTTATATTTTATTTTTAAAAGGAAGTTTATCCACAATAAAAGTAATATGTATTAATTACATAAAATTTGGAAAATAGGAAAAATATATCTCTAAATCTACCAGAGATTGATGCCTGTTAAACTTAAGA